AACCCTGTATATATATATATATATATATATCATGACAATGTTGCTTACTCACGAGAGAGAGAGAGAGAGAGAGAGAGAGAGAGAGAGAGAGAGAGAGAGAGAGAGAGAGAGAGAGAGAGAGAGAAAGAGAGAGAAAGAGAGAAAACCGGATTCCAACCACATCAAAAAACATACAACTGGATTCGAACACTCATTTGCTTTGCCGATGAGCAAATTCGTCCATTACTGCATTCATATCCGGATCATGCTTTTGAGCCCACTCAAGCCACTTTGCTCGCTCCCTCGTCTCCTCCTCCTCTTCCTCCCACTGCTCTTTCCAGTAATCCCTCATATACTCCGGTGTCCCAGACTCCTTATTATCTTCGTCCTCTTGGGATTTAAAGATATTCGGAATAATTTTTTGGTAGTCACCATGGATGGGGAATTCTCCACATTCGTTGTGCTTTGGGAAATGCCCGCTCTAATATCCTTTTCATTTTCTTGAGTTTCTTTCAATAAAGTCGCTGCCAGTTTCTGGCACTGATAACAATGCGCAACCAGTTGAACACGCGACATATTTTGCGTATCTTCTTTAGAAAAATCGATGCGAATATATTCCTAAGGGATCGTGCCCATTGTATACCTTTTCAATCACTAACCGTTCACTTGTTTTGTCGAAAGCCCGGATACTCCACAAATGTTTTAACAATTCCCTGTACCTTTATAATATCTCCAGCCTTAAGATTCCCCGTAACTACAAACATCATCAACCATTTTGACGAATATCATTAAAATAAACTAGTGTCAAAAGTTAGATCAAAGTTAAGATTATGTGGCTTTCACAATTATTACGACTGGTTGGTTTATGCAATCCATTAACTTGGTTACTAATAAACTCGATCCAGTAGGGGAATAACTTGATGGAAGAGAAAGGATTCGCATGCTAACAACAAAGCAGTTCCACATCTTTCGACTTTTGCGCAAGTAACCAAAAACGAAAGGCGGAGCATGGCGGTCCATCTTCCTGACGAGTAGCGGAAGATTAACTCTCATTTTCCGCATTGGTTAAGTTTTGGAACCAGCCCACCAGTCCACTACAATAAATACATACTTTCTATCGTCTTATATTGATTATGATAGATATTATACACAAATGAAAAATACTTACACTCGCTTTATTATCAGGATCATTGAACTAAGTAGAAGATTACTGAAAAAAATATGCTACGAGGAGACTCTATCGTGTTGCTCCTCTACCTCTCCTTACAAGAATATTCTGGTAGCAAGCGTGCAAACAACTGTTTCCTTTCCTATATTTCAGCCACGCAAAGTTTCGGAAGGCCAAAACGAAAAGTTGGCGGTCGATCCGACTTATAGGTGATGCCTCTTCCTTGCTTGGTCACGTACTGCTGTTTTTAAATGGGAAATGTATTGGCAACAGAACTAGGAATTTATGTAATAATGATGTGGACAAGCATGATTTATCAGTGGTGGCCCTTCCCCGCGTGACAACGGAGAATGATAATTTATTAAGAACAAGGGATAAGGTTTTGGAAGAAAATAGTGTTCTGATCTTATGCTCGCCTCTTTCACACAATGCCTTATTATTGAGAGTAATGATCTTGAGCTATTCCATGCTAGAGACCTGCGTAGCACCCTGTTCGCGTTCGCCGGCGAACGCAAACGGGCTCCGAAAATCAGCGAACGTGAACGTTTTTTTTTTTTTTTTTTTTTTTAGGGGGTAGGCTAGGCATGGGTGGTGTCCCTGAACCCCCCCGGTGTCTGCAGAATCCAAAGAGGATGTGGTGGGGGGAGGGTTTCTCTATTCTACAATGGTGCTGCCCCCCACCACCCCCCTTGACAGACTGTCTGTGACAGGTTGTGCGTGCTGCCCCCCATTAGCCACACATATGTGACAGACTGTCTGTCACTGTCTGTCATAGTCGGTCTGTTGGGCAGCACACACAGATTGCGACAGACAATCTGTCACATATGTGTGGCACACATAGACTGTGACAGACAATCTGTTGGGCAGCACACACAGATTGTGCCCAACAGACATTGTAGAACACAGATTGGTGGGGACCAGCTCACACACAGTCTGTCACAGTCTGGTGGGCAGCACACACACAGTTTGACAGAGTCTATATGCCCCCTACCCGACAGATTCTGTCGCAATATGTGCGCTGCCCACCAGATTGTGACAGACAGTCTGTCACATAGACTGTGACAGACTTTGATAGATGGTCTATCACAGACAGTCTGTTGGGGAGTCTATCACAGAGAGTCTGTTGGGCAGCACACACAGACTGGGATGATTGTGGCAGACTCTGTCACAGTCTGTGCGCTGCCCACCAGGTTGTGACAAAGTCTCTCACATAGACTGTGACAGACTGTGACAGACTGTTCGCCACACACACACACACATACACTTACTGCACTCACACACACACACACACACATACACTTACTGCACTCACACACACACACACACACACACACACACACACAGACACACATGCACACATGCACACACATACAATTGCCGCACTCTCACACACACACACACACACACACACACACACACACACACACACACATACACTTGTTGCACTCAGACGGGGATGGTTGTGACAGATTTTGTCATAGTCTGTGCGCTGCCCACCAGATTGTGATAGACAGTCTATCATACAGACTGTGACAGACTGTTTGAC